GTGTCCTGTGATTGTCGTCAGTGTTTTGAAATGCACAAAAAAAGTTCAAGCAGTTTGTCAGGTTTCTCAGTTATTCCTATTCACTATTCCTCAGTGACGTGAGAATTACAAAAAATGTAAATGGACATTACATTAAAGGTGCATTGTATAGCTTTTCTGGTGGTAGATCTGTGAAATACTTTTCTCTGTGGAGATGTTTTTGCTTTGTTTGGAGTGCTTCACAGTATGGTATTAAACCTTTCCATTTTCTTGGAGACCAAATTAGAGTTACAGGTCAAATCTGCGGAGAGGCAACCCTGCTCAGGGGTCATGATTTGAGCTACAAAAACACCTGTAATTGATTAAATATAAAGTAGTCATTTAATGTCATACTGTGGAACATTCCAAGCAGAGCAATGGCAAATCCATAGAAACAAGCAAGTGACAGACCCCCAATCAAAAAGTTACATAGTGAACCTTTAAATTTGACACATTTTGCAGTTGTAAATCATTATCCTAGTTACCTGGTGTTTCTAGAATATTCTGAGCAAGCCACAACCTGAGATTGTTGCTTATCAGGTTAAAGATTAACTTTAAAAGATTATTAAATGTAAATTGATGGCAACATGATGGGTCTTGAATAATATGAAAAGTCAATTAATCACTTTGACAGTTACAAGAAGGATTTGCCAGTATTTCATAATGAGGCGTTTCTAATACCTGCTTATGCTTTGCAACATTAATTGGATTACAAACACAGGATAGAAATGAACCTTTCCTGATTAGGTTTAGAATGATCTTGCACTGCATCAGAACACGCATAAGAGTACATAGACTAGTATCACCTATGGACCTGGACAACAGAGAGATTAGATATAAAGCCCCATGGTAATCTAAAAGAAAGTACTACGATTTTTGTTGAAAATGACATTCTATTTCCTAAAGAAAGATTTTTTTTTTTTATCATCATTGTGGTATCGCAATTGGTACTGTGTCTCTTAGTGTTGAAATTGAAAAATTTTAGTATGGACTAGTGACAACACTAGTCACAATGGTTTTCTTAGTTTCTTTAGTTTACCCAGTGTGCATGCTACTTAAGTGGCAAAACTCTAAAAAAGAAAAGTACTGTTAACCAGTAACATACAATTCAAACTTCTTTTGGGATGGCCGACTGAGACTTACACTGGCATCTTATTTTATGGTGTTGATGGAAACCTGGAAATGACTTGTACTATGATCTAAACGGTTCTACTGGATTGGCATAAATAAAACAGTGGCCCATTGGTTGTGTTTAGAAAAGCCTCTTGCTCAAATACTGCTGTCTTTGTTTTCTAAGGGGAGGATGATGAGAGTTTTAGGGGCGGTTTAGTTGAACCCAAGGGCATTGACATGTTGCAACCCATTCACTAAAATAAATAAAGTTGCAGTTTTGTGTTGTCACTCAGCAAAAGTTGTTCAGTTCTATAGATTTGTGGCCAAGATAAATTTATTACATCTGCCATCTATGAAAAGAGACTTGTTGACAATTGTGATCAGTGTTATATAACCACACAGAAAAGAATGGATAACATCTTAATAAGAAGGTCTGTCTTGTACTCACATCAAACAATACGCCCTTTGTCAAACTTGCGGGAACAGATGACTTCAACTCTTTTTGGCCTCAAGTTTTTCCCCTTTTGCTTTTCACCTCAATTTTAGGCCTGAACCACCCGGAGACTGTAGTGACCCCATCTGGTGTAGAAGTGTAACAGCATGGTCACAAAGTACCCAAACTGGCTTTACACATTTGCAAAAGCACAACAGTGAGTCGTCACTGCGTCACTGCTGTTGTTGTACCCCCCCACTATTGTTTGGAAATGCAGTCGTGGAGGGGGGGTTATCGATAAACCACCAGCACCTCATTTATACAGCTGCCTCCCCCACTGTCCCTGTTTGTGTGCTTAGCGGCCGGAGAGAGTGTGACAGGGCATATGGGGCTGAATGGAAAAAAACACAGGCTTTCTGATGCTGTTTGTGGTCATGTGATGTGCTCCGAGATGCAGGGACCACACTTCTCTGAGGCACGTGTTCCCATAGGGCTCCTTATTAAATCAGTCATATAAATATTTGTATTTAAGTCCATCAGCTGACACTGCTTTTCTCAAAGACCTACAGTATGTGCCTTATACTGGATTTACAGATGATGGTATCTTGACTCTGCTTTGCTCTGAACTCCACAGCCTTGTGGTCAGAGAGTTGTTTTCCTAAACAGATGTTGTCGCAGCGTGATGGTGGCTGCGACACAGATGTGCCTGTCCCGGTGAAAAGGTGGTGGCCCCGGGGCCTGAGGGGTCCAGGACAGGAATGTGCCGCGCAGTGGGCCTGCAGACTTTGTACACTGTGGAAGTCAGCAGTAAAGGGCTGAGATGAGGTTAACGCAGCGAGTGTCCCTTATGTAAACCACCACATGTTGATCTTTTTGAATAAAATGTACTGCTGGATTGCTTTATTTGTACTCAGTGACAGCAAGTCTCAAGTGTTTGGCTCTCCTGTCTCTCAGTCTCAAACCAATCTAAAGATTGTGATCCATGATTAGTTTGACCTGTTGGTGCTAATCAAGCAGAGCTTCCATGTTCCATCTTCTCTGTTCCTGTTGTCCTAAATAATAAGTGGAATGTGTTTTCTCATGTTATCAGCTTTAGGATCACCCCTAAGCCCAATGCTTTTAAGGAATGCATCTGCTATGTCTCTGTGCTTTATGCAAATATGAAACATGTTTATGCTCTGCTGTGTCTCACATGTTTGCCCCGGGGAAGACGCAGTCTTGAAACCTAATTTTAAATTTGATTACTTCTCAAGCATGTGGATTCGCCACTCCATTCAGTTTGACTCTGCATGATACTTCCCTGTTGAGTTACTAATCAGTGATTTAGTCAAAAAAAAAAAAAAGATTGATTTTCTTTTGACTCTCATCTATTTATGACAAGATTAAATGGGAGCTGCCAATACATTGTGTTGGAAAGCAAATGCTTCACTAGGGCTATCCTTTATGGTGTATTCATAGACTTGAATAATTATGATAAATGACATTATAATATACATAATATCAATGTCACGAGTACTTGTCATTTTTACAAAGAGTTTCGTCTGAAACAACTTCCCACATTTATATTTAGCAGTCTAATCTGGAGTCGGTAACTTGAACAGAACAAGTCTTTACAGGAGAGAATTCTGTTGAAATGCAGAGGAGTCTCGGTCCCGCCTCCTTTCCTCCATGTGACGGGGCCAGGCGTATAAGACGCTCAGGGCATCCACAACTCAGGAGCACAACACAACGCGTGTTTCACTCACGGGATTTACTACTTTATTAGAACCAAACTTCTAATACTTTAAAATGCGCTGCAAAATGAGCTACAGCCTGCCCTGTTCTCCGGGAACATCTCCGACTTATTCCGGACGGTTGATTTCCTACAGAGCGAGATGCGCCAGGTAAAGGTTTTATATGTTTACCGTCCTGTGTTCCATGTGCGCGTTTGACTTTTTAGCAGGGATCTTTTAAGGTTGTATAGTGTATTTATGTGACATTTTTATGATCAGATTTGAGATTTGATTTATTTATTTATTCAAAGCATAGCTCTATGATGTAGTAGACTTTATTCTTGTGAGTTGGAAACTTTTTGACGGAGCCAAAAGGTGCCCACTCCACACTGACCATTTGCCTTTTAGTGAGTTCCCTAGTTGCGCTGGTATACTGTTACTGTGTTTCCCGCGGGCTGTGACGGTCAATCAAGTCTTTTCTCTACACGCGTGGTGGCATCTGTTGCGGTGGTGCGTTTCAGCCGTGCGTCTCTGTGACCTGGAGGGTTGTTGGAGTACGTGCGCCTCAACACGTTTTACGTGCACAGGACCAATAGTGGACGATGTCAAAGTAGAAGAGCGAGTTCATTATCCACTCATAGCCTATAGACCTATATTACTTAAGTTATCGACTGTCACGTAGGCTATGCTATATGTTGGGGCACATTTACGCCCATTATTAACATAACGCACCATAACCTTTGATTAAAAATGATGGACGCAGTAATGTATTTTCACAATTTTGTGTAACTTACAGATGCACTTCTGTTTTTTGTTGCATTCACACACCGTAAAAAATAAAGACACGATATTGACTTTAATACCGTCTTAATTGAGCCTCGCACATTGTGTTCCCTTTTGGCTACGAGTCAGCCCTCCCTCCAGCGTGTGCGTCGCGCTCATTGGGCGGTGAACTCATGGATCTATTAGGGTGGACTGCTCCCAGGGTCCGTGTTGTGGATATTTACATGGGAGCTTAGAGGTGATCTTTCTTCAATTGGAATGTAAAGTTGGTGCCATTATTTTTGTGTGCTCTAGACGGGTAATCGTGCTATTCGGATGGGTGTGTTGTGTGTAGAGTCGTAGTAATTTAATGTTTTTCATGTTTCTGTAGCGTATAGTTGTGCCCTACTTTCACCCAAGCTTGTTTTATCTCTGCAGAGGACAACAATAAGATTAGGGAGATATTGTAAAACGAGCTCTTTTGGCTACAGCAGCAGTTAGGGGCTATTAACGTGACTAGTTTCTGGCCCAATGACTTGACTCTCTGCCAGCTATTGTTGTGCGCATTGAATCTTTGTCTATATTATATGACCATTCATTCTTTTTTTATACAACTAGGAAGACTGATAAGCTAGGAACTCATTGTTTAGCTGGTGAGCAAGATGTGGAGTATTTGTGCAAGTTGATTTGGCCTTCACCAAATGATGATGGCCAAAATCACTATGTACAACATATCACTGTAATCTGCTCTATCATCAAAACATTCATGAGCAGTGTTGTAACTGTACTGGTTCTTGGCATCAGTAAATATATAGTGTTTTAAACCACAAATGTACCAGGCCAGTTCCTTTAGGGGATGTTTGTCATTCTTTTGGCTGGGGCTGAATGGGAGAGATGATATCAGTCCTGAGCTCAGATAACGGATGGGCATCATGTGGTAACTTTTCCTCTTCTCTCTGCAGTGCGTCCGGTGCCAGTGTCGTCGCCATCGATAACAAGATTGAGCAAGCAATGGTAAGTTTACAGCTCATAAAAGCATGACGACAACTGCGTCCACATTCTTTGCAAGTCTGAGCAATGACTTGAGTCATAAGTGGTTTCTTTACAGCAACCACCAAGTGACATATAATGTGACATCAACCTATATTAACACATATAGGTCAGAGGTACAGATTTACAAATCCCTCAAGGAAGGGTCATTCAGAGGGCTGAATTTCTTACACATTATTTAAAAAAAATATTTTTATTGATGAACTGATGTAATAACCATGTTCTAAAGAAGATAATTCAGAATTTTTGGGTTGCTATTTTGAGTTTGTTAAATTGAAACGGGAACTAAATTTTGATTTCTCCTTTTCAGGACCTGGTAAAGAATCACCTAATGTACGCCGTCCGTGAAGAAGTGGAAGTTCTGAAGGAGCAGATCAAGGAGTTGTACGAGAGGAACTCTGTGCTAGAGCGGGAGAACGCTGTGCTCAAATCTCTGGCCAACTCTGAGCAGCTGAACAAACTGTCCAGTCAGCTGAGTCAAGTAAACAGCGTCGCTTTGCAGCAGCTACATCAACATTCAGTTTCCACAAATAACAGCAACGCTCTAGTTGGCCACTATGAAGTGGTCAAGAGCACGCCCCACCAGCCCAACATCACCTCGGCATGACCATTTTTACCTTGATGCTCAGAAGAAGCAGGAGGTCTAAAATAACTAATGTTCTCTTGGCTTTGTGCTTAACCTGCTCCATTTATTCTCACTTGAGTGTATGTGCCTTGTCTTGGCCTTGTCAAACACCTTTTCCACCATGTGAGAAGTTGTGTCACGGCTTGTGATTGGCTGAAGTGAGGAGCAGTAAAAGCCAGAGCTACATGCTGGTGACGGGGCCCAAGAGGCACACCATGAGCTGCTTACATTGGGGGCTGGTGTGGTGAGTCCTATCCAAGCGGGAGTCAGTGCTCTTCAGTGTCTCCAGGACTGGGGGGAGGGACAGAGATAGGGGGTGATTATAACTCCCCCAAAAGGACTAGGAGGTCCTGGGGTCCTTCAGCTTGAGCAGAGCGACCCGCGAGCCTTGTCTTATTTAATGCTGCAAACAGAAAAAGCTTGTGTTGTTTTTTGCAGAGCCACATTCTTAACATCAATCATTCTTAGGTTCATTTTTTAGTATTCGCATTTATTTATTTTCAGGGCTGCTATTTTGTAAATGAACAATGTCTTTGAAAAACCAACAAAACATCTTTTCTTTTTTTTTTTTTAAGTCTGTAAGGTATTATAACTAGTGAGCAGTTTAGAAGTTTTTCTTCTCAATGCATTGTGCAAACACTAAAGCCAGACTTAAATTAGCTGGAATCCAGGTTGAATGTATATTTTGTAAAGTGTAAAGTATTAAGAGAATGGTATGTATAGCCTGTTTAAGAAATGAAATATGTGATGGGATAACAAGAGGTGTTAATTTACTTTTCTAGACTTGCTTTTGTCAGAAATCAAATGAATGGGATCTGGCTGGGGAATGAAAAGCTGTGAAAATTGTTCCATCCTACTCTGTAACCAAAGACGCAAGCTGTGTAACTTTTTAATGCACAATCTTTTTCTATTTTCTACTTTCCCTCTTTTTGTTGCTGTTCTGATCTGTAATCAAACCACTGTCTTACCTCATGTTTTTATCCGCCACTCTTAATATTTGTATCACATGTCAGTCTGAGGGATTGTGTGGAGTTTTTGAAAGGGAACAAAGCATGTAAGTTTATAGAAAGGACTTTCAGCTACAAAAGGAGACATCATTTTGTGTTGAATGTCAAATGCTATAAAAGTCACAACACACATTTTATTGTATTTAAAAGGTATAAATTTGAGTTAATGACTTTATTGGCAGCCACACAAATCATACAGGAATAGAGTTTGTGTTTCGACATTATGAGATACCCTGTCTATTTGAGCCCCCTGAGCTGCTGTCTTCTTGTTGATTGGTAAAGTAGTTCTGAGGATGAGAACTAAACCAAAAATGATTGTTAACAATGTACAATCAGGCACCTTTTTACTGAACCTCTCCTACTGTCTACAAATGGGTCTATGTCTCCCTCTTCAAAGAGTCTTTTCTATTTTCTTTTCATTTGAAGGAGATGCTGTGTACTATTTGAACGTGATCACTGAGCCTTGGAGTAAATATCTTAATGCCCTTGTAATGTGCTGTTCAAACTATTTTAGTTTTCAGTCAAAAATAAATTACTGTTTTATTAAGACATAACTTGAATCTTTTTTTGAATATCCAATTGCAAAACAGAATAGGCTTCTAATTTTGGAAGTTTTTGTTATGACTATTTCTCTTTAAAGCCCTTTCTATAGCTTCCACTTTACTTGAAGGCTTAAATTATAACTGGCTAATAAGCATTGAGAAAAAGGAATGTTGTTTAAAACTGTAGCAAAAATGTTTAAAAATGGTTTTGCTTTGGCAGTTTCATTTCTGGCATAGCTTAAGTATTTTTCGTGCTTAAATTATCATGTGGGCTACATATTTCAGTATACTTTCAACAGTCAAACTGATTTAGAAAACCAGCATGGCAAGTTCAACAACCCTGAGAAAATTCAATCAACTTTTTCCCTTAAAGCCCCAAAGATTCAAACTATACACAGACTTGTAGTCAAATTACTGAGAGTGGCTTTGTCGATAAGAGTTACAACTGCAATAGCGTGAAAACTACAGACATAAATGCAGTAACTAAAGCAAAATTGCATTAAGATTGCTTGATTGCATGTTTACAGGTGCTGCCATGTGAAGCCAATTTTCCCTGTAGCTCTTACAAAGTTAAATCTAATTGGATCAGCTATCAATTCGTTCCAGAGACTATCAGTAGTAAAACAAAGGCCATCCAGTGCCTGAACTTGGCTGAGCTTTGTATGGCCTTAGTTTCAGTTGGACCAACTTCTCTTCAATGGTAGTTCAGATTAAGTGATTGGTAAGGGTTTCTCAGTAAAGGAAGTAGTAGGATTATAAAACAGGAGTGTGTGTGTGTTGTGACCTCAATATTTTTAACATAACCTACTGAACGTCAACTGAGTCATTTTCTTTAACAATTAACAAATATGAAAGAAGCAAATTCTAAAAGTAGATCACAGTTGCATTTAAGAAAACTGGATAGACGACGCAGGCACAATACGTCAGCCTGGCAGACTTTTCCATCTACTTTCCAGTGATCTTGTTTGCTTCTGTTGCTACACTGAGTCACCATAACCCACGTAGAGCAGGGTGTGTTTTTATGTCATTGTAAAAAATTTCAAATGAATGTAGGTTTACGTATAAGCCTCATTGTTTTTTTTGACAGGCTGCCAAATCAAACTCAATATTCTCTCAAAACTAACACAATGGTTAATGGTTGCATAAGAAAAATGGACGATGATTAAAATACAAGGCAAGGTTCAGTAGGGCAATAAGGGGCAATGGTGAAGGCACGTGAATATTGGTCATGCAGGATTTCCCAACCTTGAAAACTGTGGCATATAAAATGGCACCCTGTGATAAAAATTATAACTGACCATAGTATAGCCTATTTCAAACAGTTAAACAGTAATTTTGTGGTATCTTTTGTTCTACTACCCGTTTGAAAAACATTTGGCACAGCATGATAAACTAAGACTGTCAAATCTGTTCATAGGTGATTCATCATTTTAAGCCTCGTCATCTAGCCATACAAACCTTGGTTAACTGTTCCCATAGATGACTGCTCCTCTCCAGTGCTGTTCCATGAAGAGTGTACCACTGCCATCATGTGGATGTAAGGTGTACAGGCTTCAGTCCAAATGATCAGTAACCATTCCCTGTGGAAAACATAAAATACCTACTAACTTACTCACAACCAACAGTAGAGGGCAGTGCTGACTCGCTAAAGAACATAAAAAAAATGCTAAAGATGCATAGCTGCTTGGGGCAAGGATAGAAGTATAATAAAACCATATAATAGATACATATTATTAATACTTTCCAGTGATATTATGGGGGTGTTCTACATAACTCTATGGTGGAATTATCAGATGTTATTATGGAAACGCACTCTACATATTAGCAAACACACCCAAAAAGTTGTGAGATTCTCTGAAAACGCAATAAAAACATACATTGATTTAGACAACACATTTTCAGGAACCTGTGATCAATACGAGCGTTCATGGTCCTGTTTAGGTGTTTGATTTTCAACAAAAACGTGAAATGTGAGTTACTGAAAAACTGTTCGCTAATGCCAGACAGTTTGTGACCGCAATTGTATGTGTAAGACTTGTTTTACATCATCTTTCCTGTTGTAGTTCCAACTAAATCAGCTATTTCTGGTCAGATTAAAGTCAGATTTGAGTAACAGAGCTTCAGATAGAGTAGTGCCTTCAGTTAGCATCACACCTCCAGGGAATGTTGATGGTATCAACTGCAAAGTATCAATAGATCCATAGAGGCAAGTGTTTAGCGTAAAAGTTTTTTAGTGTGAAGGGTGGTAGACCGGATGACAACACCTCCGCCCACAGAAGGGCTGGTCATGCGGCCTGCACTGCTGAGAGGTCCGTGGAGGATATCAACACAGAGATGGCGAAAGCTTCACACGATACCTTTAACCGGGACTGCCTTTCGGGTTGAAATACGGTAGACTTGGTGTGTTGGTGAAGCTGGCGTCTCATCGGGCGTTTTGGCTCCGCGGGGAGGACATGGAGCTGCCGCAGGAGGAGGCAGAGGAGCGCAGGTGAGTGAGGAGCCTGTCACCGGCTGTTAGCATTAGCATTAGCTCTGCGGTTACATCACAGTCAGAGAGGGCATACAACCTCACAAATCACCCACTTGCACTCTTAATAAACAGTAAATACTGGAGCACCTTTACCACATCGATCATGCAGGTTATCTGGTTTAAATCTGTTTCTCTGTGTTCCCTTCATAGCTGTAGATAAGTAAACCTCAAGTTTAGTTGCTTTCACTTTACTTTTTGCAACCAAAAGTCACGAGTAGGTGGCTGAATGGCAACATCATCAATAGAATGGCCATAATACGGTGACAGTTATGTAAAACATGCCAACCTTTAATCTAGTGACATTGCATTAGTGTTAGCTTAGTTGTTAATGTTGGATTTAGCATCAAGCTAAGTAGGTAGCTTAAGCTAAAGCTAGCTGTCAAAAATAAAGGAGTGTCAAAAAAATGTTTTCCGCACAATAATAGGAATGGCAATAAAAACGAGGACTTGCTGTAGTTATGTATTGCTTAACAATATGTTGACTTATTTAAATCATTGCACTAATATACAGATAACTGCTACTCGCGTTAATGTTTAATAATATCATATTAAGGAGACTTGCAAGTTTTACACTATTAATGACTCTTAAGTTTTAGACAGTTTAGCTCTTTTGCTCTTGTTTTTTTGTTTTCTGTGGGGATAGCGGATCGTACCAACTCGCACTTCGTCAAACTAAGTTAATCCTTAACTTTGACCGGCTTAGTTTATGTGAGGAATTCTTTCCCCTATGAGACGGACATTCCTGGTGCAAATAAGTGCTGTTTTCTCTGCTGAGAGGAGAATGTTCCGTGACATTTAAAGCCCCATCGCATGTTACACGATGTAATTCGATTTGTACGTTTAAATGCAGTGGCTGAACTCGTGATTTCACTTCAGGCTGTAGATTTGTTTTCCTGTGTTTAATGTTTAGTGTATCTATAAATTAGTGTTTTCACATACTAGTATAAACCACAAAGCCGATTAGCTATCAGGTTATGCTTATACAAGAACTTAAAATATGACTTTTTGCTGAGGTATTGAAAAAATCACGAGGAAATGAGCTGGCTAGCACTTCATGAGCAAATTTTTAAAACATTTTGTCAAAAATAATTTCCTCCCTTCAGTTATACTGTTGTGCTTTTGTGTCTTTATAATTATCCCTTTGTTTTCACCACAGGAGAGAGCACTGGAAGCTGTTGTCCAGTCTAAAGACCACAGTGGAGGGCCTTGTCTCCACAAATAACCCAAATGTGTGGTCACGCTATGGAGGCCTGCAGCGACTGCACAAAGACATGAACAACATCCTCAGTCATGGACTGAGGAATGAGCAGGTCAGCACTTCACACTTGACTGTTGACATTGTCCACCTAATTAGACTATATTGTATGGTTTATAAATCAACCAAATCTGCCCTTTCTCTATTAAATCATTTATTAAACACAAGGACATTGTTTGTGTTGCATTTGGCTGTAGGTCTACTACAGGCAGAAGGACTACTGGCCTTTTGTATCATGTGTTCGATTGATCTGTCCCAATCTTGCTCCACATGTTGAACAGGTATATTTCCCAGACTTGATTATCTCTCCATTTTAGTAACAAACAAACCAATGCAAACATTATCATTGTACCATATAATATTGTTGTAGACTGATTTGTCTGATTTATATCTATTGCACCTACCAGTTTATGCGCCTAGAGCCTGAAGTCAACAGTGGGACTTCAAATACTAGTGAAAGCTACAAAGCGGAGCGCTGGCTGCTTCATAGTTTACAAGTTCATAGGCTGTCGGCACAACTGCGACCTCTGCTCAGGCATCTGGGACATGTGCGCAAGTTCTATAATGGTAAGTGTAAAATTTCACATTGACTTAACTTTTTTGATACTTTGTCTTAAAAAATAATATTAAAATTTTTTGCAGATGATGCCTTCCTGCTCAGCGAGCCTCATGTTACCGCCATGTTTCAGTGCCTTGAAGCTGTGGAGCAGAATAATCCCAAGCTGTTGGCCCAAATAGACACTGTTGCAGTATGTTCTATTGTTACATTATGTCATATATTATGTTTATTTCCAGATTGTTTAAAAGTAATTTTTGCTTCGTTTGGCAGTTGTCCCCTCTAAAGGGCCCCCCTGGCTTGGGTCTGTTGAAAAGTCAGAGCCTGTGTGTTTTGCCGGGGTCTGGGGGGCTGTGGAGGAGTGCGGATTTCACTCCCAAAGGTGTCTCTTTAAATCGCAGACTCACCACATCCAACTGTTCTCTTCGTGAGGCCAGCACCCCCAACACTAGCCAGACCACAGAGTTCAGCTTCCAAAATGGGAACAGTACAAGTGGGTTTTCAGGGATTTCAGATAAAACTATGAACATTTAAGTAATAAAGAAGTTTTTAGCACAGCTCACTCATCTCTTCTGTTCTATAGATAACTCTTCTGTGGCTAACAACGTGGGGCCTCCATGGGTGTGTGTGTCTGCTGCAGGAGAGAGTGAAGCAGGAGCCACTCCAGCTGTAAGCCTCATCTCTACACCAAGTGTCTCTTTACCAGAGTCCCCCTCTTCACAGGAAACATGTGACTCTGGTGAAGGTGACTTTGACGATGGTCCAGAGTACCTTGCTATTGGTAACCTGGGGCAACGCAATCGACGGGACTCCAGAAGCTCTACGCCCAGTAGTGACCAAGGACAAACGAAGGAACCGAATACTAAAAACAACTTGTTGGTCCCACCTCCACCAAGGCGCTCATCTTTCTCTGAAGGACAGAGGGGGCCAGGCAGGGGGTCCCGTGGACATACTCGTTCATTTTCTGATACAGGACTCAATCAAAAACTCAGGAATGGTGAGTATTGTCAGACTGATGCTCAATGTAAAACTATAACAAGCTTGAATTACTATTTTGTGTAAAGAACATCATATTTTTAAAGTGTGTAAAATTAACACAAAAAGAGTCTGACCTATTTCTAAAATTCTATTAAACCTTTTTCTGCTTCAATAATCATTTTTTTTGGTCTCTGTAAATGGGTTCTGCTTTCTGGCTTTGGGTAACTCTTTGTCCTTTCTAATCTTACCGTGCAAAGGAGCGGGTCCACGGAAAATCACCATAATAATAGAAGAACCGGTTACAGGTTGGCAGTGCAGTTCAGCTGTACTCCATCACATGACCCCTTCCCCTCTCTCTGCATGACCAAGCACCTCCTCATTTACATCTCCACTCTTAGCAAAGCATTTGTGATTTTGTTAAGTTTGTCTGTTTTTTTCAACTGATGTGATCAACATATGTTCATTCGTTGTGTGTTTTTCTGTATTTTTATTTTTATTATCTTGGACTGTATTTATAGCTGTTGTTTAATCATTGACACATATTCTTTTGTTCTCTTATTTTTAGTTTCAATGATTTAGTAATGAATGTGAGGCCATGCAAGCATTATCATTTTATGCAATATAATAGACATACTGCAGTATGAAGACAAATAGCTCTTTGCATGTTTTGATCAAAATAAGTATTTCATTTTAACTCCTGTTTTGTTTCTTAGAATCATCTGGTGATGACCATGTGAAGGATTATAATCCATTTTCATCACAGTGCAGTGATTCCAGTTCTCCTAATTCTCTGTATTTGGAGTCTGGTAAGTTTGTGCAGTGTGGTCATAAGTTAAGTTTGCTTTTATTGTCATAAATTTGACATTCTTTATATGTTTTATGTTGACACAGATGGATCTCAAACTAGACGTGTTTCAGATGGGATGTTCAGGAAACCCTCAGAGGGGCAGAGCCTCATCAGCTATCTGTCTGAGCAGGACTTTGGCAGCTGTGCTGACCTTGAAAAGGTTCACACCTGTTTTACCTTCATATATATAGAAAAGACACAATGTGATTATTCATGGATGTCCTGTTGTTACCCTGTTTTTAGGAGAACGCTCATTTTAGCATTTCAGAATCCCTAATTGCAGCCATTGAATTAATGAAGTACAACCTGCGGCGTCAGGAGGAGGAGGGGGAGGAAGAAGGGGACAGTGACTGTGAAATTCAGCAGCTCAAACAGAAGATTCGTCTGCGCAGACAACAGATCCGACGCAGCCGCCTGCCGCCCTGCGCAGCCTACAGCCATAGTGAGTTTGTCTGAACCATAGCTTTTCTACACTGTGTACTTTACCACTTTAACTTAACTGTCACATATTTCCTTTCAGATTTCCACTCCACAGACAGCGGCACTTCCAGACGAAGTTCTCAAGACTCTTACCAGGGCCTATCTGACTCTGGCTCAGCAGAAGAGGTGGAAGAATGTGAACTACGAGGTAAAAAATCAATACAGGTTTCTCTGTCACAAAGTTATGTGACATTAAATATAAATCAGCTCCTTTTGAGTAAATGCACTCTATAAATTATTTTTCAAACTTGAACTTGCCATCTTTTTGCCAACCCATTATCCCATTTCATATCAGATCAAGAGCACAATCGTTAATTAGCATGTGATTATTACTCCTCTGTCTAATTGGATGTGGGCATTTGGAGCAGGCTTGGTGTCGTCTGCTAATCACTGCTGAGCAAACTGTTGATTATCATTTCTTTTAACTAACAGCTAAAATAATTACCACATTTGTTGCTTTGAACTGAACTTGGTATGGGTTTAATTCAAATGGGATGAGTTAGCTCAGTGTTGGTGTGTTGAAGCAGATATGAGTGTCACCTGTCTATAATTCCGTTTGTACTGGTCCTATATTACACAAAATTGACTCTTGTGAGCTTTAAGCCATGTTATAATTCTGTAACCTCATCAAAAAACATACCTGTAGTTGTGTTATTAGTCTGTTTGCATCTCCAAATCTCAAAATGCTTTGTTCCAACTTGTGGGAGTTAGTGGGAGCTTTCAAGTTAACAGCTACATTTCATGATTTTAGAGATGGTGTGTGGAGTTCAAAAACACAGTGGAGCACTTCCTGTATTAGCACATAATATCACAAGGTGGAACAGAGAGTTTTCTGATTAAGAGAAGAACTCAAATATCCAAATATGCATAGGTTGTGTGTTAAACATCTGAATGAAACAAAACACAACCAGGTATGTTTGTGATGAAGAAACAGAATTAACACCCTTTTAAGTTCAGCAGTTTACAGCAGTGTATGTTTTGACTCTCTGTGCTTGTGGTGATGGTGGTGCTGAGTGTCTCTGTCTCTCAGATGGCTGTGAGGGGCAGTCCCTGCTGGCAGTGTCACAGAATGGCCTCTCGTTGTCTCTCGCCTCCCTCTTCTCAGGTATATGCCGGACAACTGCTGGAGTGGCTCCTATAGTGTCCAGTCCTTTTCAGAGGAAGCTTAGGGCTCCAGTTCAAACAGAGAGTATGCAAACTGTAATGCTTGTTTCTTGTATGACTTCCTCTTAGTCCCAGTTGCGGATATTTGAACACTTGATGCTAATATCCACATTATAACATAACAAATGTATACAAATATACAAATACATGAAAATATAATTGGAAAGTGTCCTTTAAATCCAACAGATAATACGGTAAAACAGCGTTGCAAATTCAGTCCATTAGGAGTGGAGTCTGCTACCTCCTGTCTTCTTAATCATGAGCTTGACTGCTTGTTGCTGCTGTTGTGCAGGGCTCCAGAGACTTGATAGTGTAAAATTCAAATGTGTCTGTTCTTGTATGGGGCTGCTTTAGGAGACTAGCACCTAGTAAGTAGTCGTCAGGGAGTTAATTGGCTTACCATTCATTACCCATTTTCCATCAGTTTTTTTCCCTTCTCATTTAATCATGCATTTCATTCTCTTGTACTGTTCAGTCTAGAGACTTGAAGCTAAAACAAATGGAGGCATTTTGCATAATTGCCTTGCCAAAGATAGAAATAACTTCCTTGGAATATTATACATTTTATAGAGTAAGGCAGTTAGAAAGGCTGGCCATAAAATTTGTATCCACTCACACGAGCGTTTTGCCCTAACGAAAAAAAAAACACATCAAACATCAACCATTGCTAATAATGTGTGTAAGAATGGGACTACATGTAACATTGCAGGCTATTTCAGTACTGTTTATTTTGTTTCCTACATTTAGATCTACTATTTGCCTTTGGGGCACTGGGAATTTTTTCTGTTCACCACATCCTATTCTAAACATGCATGCATGTCTCTAACTTTTAACAACTGTTGCTGTTTCTGTAGTTCTAATCATCTGCTGATCTATTTAGTCACACATATTTTCAAGATAAAAAGATGTATAGTTGTTGTTTAGTCTTTTAAACTGATCTCATTATGTATTTTTGACCTTCAGATGCCGACATAAAACGCAGTGTAAGCTCCAGTGGCAGGTCCTTCCTAAGCTCAGAGTCCTTGTAAGTTCCTTCTTCCTCTTTCACTTCATAATTTTTTTTTAAAATATTGTTCTTGAAAATTGTGTGGAAATTCACATGTAGTTGATATTTACTGAACCCTCCCCTACAACTAACACAAAAAAGTAATCTTTATTGTCACTTATTAGTTCTAAATTCAGAACCACTGATGGGCTGATGAGAAAACGTCAATATCTTCACGTTTGCCTCCATGTTTGTTTAGATGTGGGATAGATCGTATTAGTGATGGGTAGATGACCAAACTTGTTTGTAACACATTTGTTGACAGGGTGTTGACACTCTGGTGGTCAATTCTATAGTGCCATCTGGTGGTTTACTAATTCCTATGCAGAAGCGTTGACAGAATGCAGGATTCATTCATTCAGACATGTAGAAACTTGTGCTAGATGTGCTCTGATATCCAACAAATAAAAGAACTGACCAAGAAGGTGATGCATGTCATTAAAGCAAAAAACAACATAATGTACAGTAAAGTAGGCTATAAGTGATACAGTGACGAGGTGAATGGTTGTGGTTGTGAAAATCGTAATGAAATAATGTAGCGCTTCCAGCAGATCTACAGTAAGCTCCTCTTGGGACTGATCCCACACAGAAGTTCTGAGCTCCATACATGTGTTGACTTGTTTGGCCCATCATTAGATCATGCTTTTCTTTTTAATCATACTGTCATATCTTTGTATCTGAACTTTTTATAGAAAAAGTTATTTGACTTTTAACACTGTGCTGTGTGGTCTTTTAACTGGATTTACTCTGTTTCTTCTTTTATGGGTTTATTATTATTTTTAAGAGCACTGGTAGAGCAATTGTTTATTTGTTATTGTTAATTTTTATGTTTTCCTGTGCAATACTTTGGAAACGGTACAGTTTATAAGACACTTTTTCTTGTCATCTGCAGCAGCTCTCCCTCCTTCCTCCAGTCCAACTCTGCAGAGTCTGTTGCCATGGGTTTGCTCCGGCAGTTTGAAGGCATGCAGCTGCCTGCTGCTTCTGAACTCGACTGGCTGGTCCCAGAACATGATGCACCTCAAAAGGTATCCACAACATCACAGTTTCAAACACAATTTAAATGTTTTTACCACTTAGTGCCAAAGCAATAATTCGTTGTTGTTGTATTATTCCAACCATGGCTGTGCTTTTAATCAAATTGAATCAATATTGAGATTCAGTCATTTGTAATTGTCAAAGATCAGCTTGGGCATTTTTAATGAAGAGAGCCAATCCCTTTTCAGTAAAAGCATGAGGTTTGAGTCAGAATTCGGCCTTAATTGATGATTGTTCATGCTCAGAAAATGTATATTTATTTTTAAATTCTTTTTAAAAGGCAAATCAAATCAAATTGTGCGGGTGAAGATTAAATATGGGCGAAGAAATCATGATTAATTTTCTGCTTTTCAGCCAGCCATTAATCTAACCCTGTCACTAATAACTACTACTTTGACAGCTCTTACCCATTCCTGACTCGCTGCCCATCTCCCCTGACGACGGCGAACACGCAGATATTTACAAACTTAGAATCCGTGTTCGAGGAAACTTGGAATGGGCTCCTCCTCGACCACAGATCATCTTTAACATCCATCCCACTCCCAAGTCAGTAAATGTTACCACCTATACCGTGTTTATTTAACCCAAACCATTTAAAATGTGTGTATTTTTATTGAATCATCAGAAGGAAGATTGTGATTGCAAAACAGAACTATCGCTGTGCTGGTTGTGGCATTCGCATTGACCCAGGTAGGAAAGTAGTTTTGAACAGGGTTTTAAAGAGCCCATATTATGCTAATTTCATTGACATTGATCTGTGTTATAATGTTGTTTCCACATCAAAACTACTTGGAGTTGGTTGAAAAAACAAAAATATCAGACACTCACTTAGTTACAAAATATTTTAAAGCCTTTATTGTGAGCAGGCAGGAAGCAAGCAGTTTTTTACCCTTCCTGCCCACTCCTAATAAAGGGTTTTAAATATTTTGTAACTAAGTGAGTGCCTAATATTTTTCTTTTTCAATGACGAGCACCCTTAGTCATATGAGTAGCAGCAGCTCCCTGTCTCTGCTGTTTTTTCTGAATACTTGGAGTTGTGTTTTGTTTGTCACGCAAAGCTCTGCATATTTAAGTTTAATAATAACGGTTTAATAATAAAAGGTTACTCAAATGTGTCTGAAGGAAACAAAACACAACTCTAGGTTTGTTTGATGAAGTAACAACATTATAATATGACTTAAAGCTTATAAGAATCCATTTTGTGTAATATAAGACCTTTTAAAAGCCCTCATTCACTTATTTTTTTGCCATGTTTTGCCTTAGACTACATCAAGCGACTACGTTACTGCGAATATTTGGGTCGCTACTTCTGCCAGTGTTGTCATGAGAACACACAAGCTATTGTACCTGGACGAGTTTTGAGGAAGTGGGACTTCAGCAAGTATTATGTCAGCAACTTTGCCCGGGACCTTTTAAGTAAGATCGCCGGAGACCCACTGTTTAACCCCAATGACATCAACAGTGGCCTGTACAAAAAGATCAAGGCTCTGGAGTCAGTCAGGGTAAGTGGCCTCTCAAATTGAAAATCAGGTCTTATGAATCATTAGTTTTCCAGATAAGTTACATCACTCACACTGGATGATTACTGTTCTCTATTGTTTCAGGTTTTAAGAGTGCAGCTGTTGCATATGAAAAACCTCTTCAAGACTTGTCGCTTTGCCAAAGAGTAAGTTTTTTGTTAGTTTTTCCATTTCCTTGTCGTCAGAGTTGTTCCTGTAACACAACCATGGATTGTGTCACTAAACATGAAATCTCTTGTTTGTTGCTTTTTAGGATTTTGGACCAGTTTGACACTTTGCCTGGTCACCTCACAGAGGACCATCACCTCTTTTCGCTCAATGACCTCACAGCTGTTCGCAACGGGGAATTGGTCCCTCGATTGAAAGAACTGCTCAAACTTGGTACTAGACATGTAGCTGGCTGCGTGGTGAGTGGATATGTACCGTCTTGTATTTTTATTGAAAATTATTATCGCATATACCTTTTTAAAAAAAAACATTTTCCTGGATTTAAAGCATACCTTTGCCATTGTAGAACTACAGCAAGGGTTTCTGTAGATCTCAAAGTGAGAGCCAAAACTTTTATTTCTCAAAGACACTTCAATCTTTTTTGTCATTCACTGT